ATTTGCAAGTATTTGTTTGCCTTTATCCCCTCAGCTTTTTAAAAGAAAACAAAAAAACCCCTGCTTGTGTGGCTGCATTATGTAGGGATATAAAACTGTGACCATACTGTGAGCCTAGTTGTCTTTTTCAAATATTTCTTTTAACGTATTTTTTCCTTTCAGAAGAAGCCTGATAGGTGATTCTGTGGAAAGATTTGCCCTCTGGAGAAAGTTCATTAAGACTGTCATATAGCTTCTTGCATGGCTAATTTCCAACTCTCCATTAAACTTGACCTCCACAGCAATAACTAGATATGCCTAATCAGAAAAGACTGTAAATTGAGAAAAGGTGAGGAGGTTTCCATGTCTGTTGCAGAGACCAGCCTGTTCTTTAAAGCAAGAAGTTTGCAAAACCAGGCGTTACAGCTAGGCTGTTGCAGCATGAGCCAAAGTGTATTGGGGCAACTGCTGCAACGCTTGTGTGCATCGTTAGGTGACTAATTGTCATGCAGCAGCTATACTCACTAACCAAGTGTTAGTTCGTAGCATAAAAAGGTTAACATGAACAAAAGTTACCCTCTGAAATTCAAAAGGGCTTTGACTTCTTAAAACTGGCTACTGTGTGCTATTTATCTTCAGCTGAATGGAGTTGCAGAGGAGAAAGCAGGAATTGGTGTAAAAGTACTGGGTGTCGGAGAGCGACACAGGATAGAATATACTGGAACTACCGGAGTGCCTTAGTAACACTGTGGTTGTCACACAACTCGACTGAATCAGTCACAAACAAATTTCTCCAGTCTGTGGGCTTTGTTACCACTACTGGCTGTGGTTCAGCATTGGTAAAAATAAAATTGAATGTACACTGTGTGCACTCTGTGGGAGGATTCGTTTAGTGCCAACGGAAGCATTGTCTGTTCGTCTTTGGAGAAATACAACATTTGCTACTCAGGAATGAAAATAGAATTTTCCTAAATTACACTAAAAGAGAAATTATAAACCAAATGGCATCACTGTTGGTCTTAACATGATGTAGGACACACTTACACAAAATGGCTCCACGCACTGAGTGTCTTCAGCAGTACGCCTTCTAAGAATGAGGGTTTTTTTAGAGGATTCAGTGTTCATTTAATGAAAGCACTTAGGTTTCTTACAAGCAAGGTTGGCTGCCTTTAATAAAAATTAAAGTATCACTCCATTGTTACTATATTATGAGCAGATGACAATAGAGAATGATGAGATGGATGATTCTCTCAGGGTTTTTTTTGCTACAAAAGACTTAAACATCCTCTTATTTTCGAGAGGTGTCATGGGAGGAGCTGCAAAGAAAACTCAGCATGTTCCATCAGTTGGCTCTTGGATGCTTCTTCCAAGGATGCCTAGGTATGGCTGCCTTTCGCACCGCGTTGAGATGCATCCAGATGACAACTGACGTGCGTACGACAAACAAGCGCTCTCAAAAGCAGCCCTCGAGCAGCAGGACTGAAGCAGCAGTGACCTCTCCAGGGCAGGGTGTTTGTGAACATCTGTTGTTGGTGAATGTCTTCGTTTCACTGTATTGCCTACAGGTTAGTTACAAGATCTTCAGGAGCCTACTCGTTTATGGAAAAGGCTGCCAAATTAATTTGACTTAGCCATTCTGTTGTTGTAAAATAACTTTTTGGCTTATAACATTTGGAAAAAAACCCATGGTGTTGTAGAGAGGTTACCTCTGGTAGCAAGGGGGAGTAATTGTTTTGTTTGTTTCGTTTGGAGCACCACTGGCTGCTGTGAAGGACAGGGGCTGCAGAGCTGTCTTGCATAGGCAATCTAGAACCTCCCATAGAAGCTTTTGGTTACCTTGCTGTTTATCGCCCAACTGTGCCTTGGGTTTCCTGGACATCTTCTGGACATGGTCATAGTGCTAGCATCAAGCAATCTTTGCACTTCTGTTCCGGAGGAAGTTAAGTTTGGAGGCTTTTATCTTGGGTTTGAAGGATCTCTGAATCTTACATCAGGAGAATGGCGTTCAACTGAAAAGTCAACCTTTTTGAGGTGGATAATCTTTGCTTTGCTATCCTTCCCTTTCTCTCTAGAGTGGTAAGGGTCATACCAATCTCTTTGAAATAGTAATGATTCCTGATTCCAAACTAGCACATGTGTAAATAGCAAGTTTCACTTTAATCAGCTGAAAATATGCTTTTCGAACTGTGAATGATGCTGTAGCAAGAACTGACCAGGTTACAGTACCTTCACAATGCAGAGTGTGCACGGAGGAACAACAACCACTTCTTCGGACATCAAGAAAAAAGATAATTGCATATGAAGTGCAGGATTTTAGTGTAATTAAAACGTGGGGGAAGACGTGCACATGTGAGTTGGAGGGCTTAAAAAAAAAACCCAACACAACAAAAAACAGCTGTTCCTGAGTATAAAAACTCTTGTTGTGTGACCCCATCTCTACCGAAGTGTTGCAGTGTTATTCTCCACAGATGATAAATTTCTGAGCTGGTAAGTCACTCTTCATTTCTTTCAAATCTAGAGCTCTACAGATCTCTGCTGTTTATGCTATGAAATACTCCAGGACCCCACACTGTAGATCACATCAGTCTGAAGCCAGTGGTTTTTTCTAGATGTGTAGTTAATCAGGAACTGGTTATTTCCCAGTCCTCTTCCTGCAAATACATTACATGGGCACTCAGAATTCCTTTTGGACAGCTGAGAATTGAGTAATAGCAAGAGGCTTCTCGCATCAGAATAATGATGAGGGGGAAAATGGATGAGAGTTTCAGAGAGAGCCTGAAAATGTTATCTTGAACACAGTGGTCCAAATCCTGGAATGCACTGAGCGTGTCCTTAGCTCGCTCTGACATTACAAGCTTTAGGAGTTTCAACAAAATGCGGAGCAGCTCTCGGATGTTGGGCTTCATAGACAATTGTTACTTACATGTTTGTTCTTTTTAGACATTACACCTGTTTCCACGTTATTTATTCTGCTGATTGGCTTCTCTGGATTGCTTTTGGTCTGGACGAATAAGTCACCACACTGGGAAGGGGCAAGCCCGAGGAATTTAAACAGTAAGATTCCCCCCCAGACCAAAGCCAATATTGGCTAACAGGGTGAACTGGGCTGCGTTTGTGTGATGAGTCTGCACCCTGGGGCAGCTGGAGAGGACCAGTTGGTATCGGGGACCACCTTGTGCTGGTGGCAAGAACACTGATGGAGAATCAGAAAGGAAATCAGGAGCCTCTTGGCCCCGGGGTCCTTCTACAATAAAAGAAGGAGCCCTGCCACACGGGAACGGGTGCCTGGGGGTTTCATAGATGGCCCTTGTTTGAGTGCAGCATTTCCAGTTTGTGCTGGATTTCTTGTTCTGTAAAGCCAAGACCTGCAGCATCCTATGGGTCAGGCGGTCCCCCACATTGAGCACCGCAGTGAAGAGGGGTGTCTCCGGAACAGTGCACTCCTGAAAGGCTTTGGCTTTGAGGAGCATTTCCTGGTCACTTTGGAAAACGTGCTGCACGCTGCTTTGCTTAGAAGCAGCTGCTGTAATGCAGCTCGTCGCTGTTCTTTGTCCTTTTTCTGCGTAGTGCTCCCTCTGTGCGCGGGATGCGCGTTCTCTCAACGCTGCCTTAAAATGTTACAGGTCGGGGTAGACCTCATAAGGTCACTCTATCTGTTCCCTGACACTACCACGGCATAAATGTTGATGCCTTTATTTAATGATTTGCCTGCCACTTCTGACAGATGGTTGTTTAGTCTTGTGCATCCGGTGTGATGGAGCATCCCCAACTTTTCTTGACATCTTGCTCAGTTGTTTTGCTGTTCTTTTCTGCAGTTTATTCTGGGCATTGTTTGCTTAGTTCAATTGGAGTTACTGTTTGTTTCTTCATCGGTGCTTTATCATGTTACTGTTTCTGTACACTTCGCATAACTTTTTTTTTTTTCCTTGTAGTTGAAGACTGATTGCACTGTGTCGTCTGGGCTGTGTTGGAATGAGAAGTTTGGGGAGGGGGGTGGTGCCTTCGAGGCCATTGATCCCATCTTTATAACTTTGCCCTTTTAGGTAGGAACAGATTGTTTGCGCCGTGCTTCGAGATTGCACAGGCAGAATCAGAAGGACCAAACTTTACATAAACCATTTGTACTAAACGTTGGGAATGCTGGCAACATAAATCAACAACAGTATCTATTACAAATTTATCACTTTATCAGTATTATCTTCAATAGAAGCGGTCCAGACACGTGGGGAAGTGAATCATACCTCAGGAAGTTTAGCCCTCTTGTAAATTAATTATTCAGGACACACAGAGCCTGGCCCCTTCAATGTATAGTAATTCTTTCTAGCCAGCGTCCAGGACTTTAACTTCAGTGGCAATAATAAATAGGAAAAGTCTCAGGTGAAGCCAGTATTTCAAAGTAATTAATCATCTTCCCCTCATGGTCCCTCCGCCTCTCTCTTGGTTTTCTTTAACGAGGGAATTTCAGTAATAAATCTTTAATGATATATGTTAAGAATCCTTCATTAGTTCTTGTCTGCTTATTCCTCTTTTTTGATGCTTTTATGGGGTATGTTGGGAAGTTAAAATGCATACAAAGAAAAAAAAACAGTTACAGAAAGCTGATAACTTGGCACAGCCTCCAAAAGGTGGTTTCTTGGATGTTGCCTGTTGTGTGGCACGTTTGCTGATAGGAATTGTTGGGTTAATGCTGGCTGGAGTCTCCCAAGAACGCTTAGATACAGGTAGGGAATTACAGCGTGATTGCATAGGAAAAGGTAAAGAAAAAAAAAGGGATTTGTCTGCTCCTAACCGGGAGATGAACGTGGTTCCGTAGCGCGCAAAGGCTGCAGCATGTTGTAGGGTCTGGGATGCCGCCGCGGAGGGGATGCAGCCTTGAACAATCCCGGTTAGATGCGAGCAGCCGTCACGCCGATGCGATGTGACAGGGACAGATGTGACAGATCGGTTCTGACACACTTCCATACCACGAGCCCGTGGCTGGAGGTGACTGGTGTCCTTCCCCGGTCCCGTCCCCGCTGCAGGACAGCACAACGACGCGCGGATGAACCTCGCCATCGCCCTCACCGCCGCCCGCTACGGCGCTGCCACCGCCAATTACGCTGAAGTGCTGCGCCTGCTCAAGACGACGGATCCGGCCGGCGGGAAGGAGCGCGTGTGCGGGGTGCGCTGCAGGGACGTCCTAACAGGTGCGTGGGCACCCGGAGGCAGCGGCCGCCCCGGTGGCGTGGTGCCGTGTCCCCTTCGCTCCCCCGCACCCCGCGCGGAAGCGATGGCCTCACCGCGCCGCGGTTGAGCGGGGAGCGTGCTCCCTTCCTTAGAGAGGCGCAGGGATAACGCAGGGCGGGAGGAGCGGGAACGCTGCCGTTGGTAAACATCAATGAACCGGCAAAGGAGCCATCTTCCCAGAGCGCAGCGGCATACCATTAGTGTCAATCAGCTTAAACTTCTGTCAGATTTTTCACTCAGATCCCAGCGTTTTGGCAGGGCAGGCTAAGCTTTACATCCAAACCCTTCTGTCAAGCAAAGATGATTTTGTAAAATGCTACGTGCTGCACAGTAATAGTCCCGTTCCCCAAGTCTGTGGGTTGAGGCTGAAATCTCTTGTTTGAGAGGCAGATTTCAGCTGAACTTCTACCCAGCCTGCCTTCTTCTGCTTTTACAGATAAGATGGAATTTCACTGTAAAATTTTCTTTCAAATCTGGTGTTACGTGACAACTTTAATTTTTAAAAACCGTTCCAGCCGTTCTGCTCAGAGAAGCACCATATACTTTAGGTTAAGCACCATATACTTTAGGTGAAGTCCATAGATAGATCAGTAACAGAGAGCGTCAGTGAGCAGGAAAACAAACGGTGTACGTGATGGATACTGTTTTTCTTTCACAGGGCAGGAATTTGATGTCAAAGCCAAATGTGTTATCAATGCCACGGGACCTTTCACAGACTCTGTGCGCAAAATGGATGATCAGGAGGTACCAAACATCTGTCAGCCGAGCGCGGGCGTGCACATCGTGATGCCCGGTTACTACAGGTAACGATACTCCAAGCCTAAACCATTTGTAACAGCCCCTGCTGGGGTCTGTAATAAATAAGCTTGGGGAGATGCATTTGTAGGTTTTATGGTAGTTTTGAATGCATGACTTGATTTTTTTTTTTTTTTTAATAGAGGGTTGTGGCACTGTGCCTGTGAGAATAACAATTTCATATATTCAGAAAAGACTGAAATCTTGTAGTTCTTAGTTAAAACTCACCAAGGCAGAACTCCTG